GGCGTTACAGAGCACCGAATACCAGGACAGCCAGGCACAAGAACAGTTTCTTTCCCCAGGCAATTTATCTCAGGAACAGTTAATGTTCTCCCATTGTGCAATTAAAGTACAGTATGTGCAATAACCTTATAATTATTTATCACCCTAAACCCTAGTACATCCCTACAACTTATTTTATTCTATTCCTATTCCATCTAGCATACCACACCTGTACATACTATTTACTCTTTTTTTTGTGGTTTATATTTATGCATGTGTATTTTATTCACATCTCATTTTTATTATCTGTGTGTTGTTGTTGTCTCCGTGTACTGGAAGCTTGTGACACTATAACAAATTCCTTGTATGCGCAAACATACTTGGCAATAAAGCTCTTTCTGATTCTGAAAATTCTCGTGAAGTGACTCTCACAGCAGCTCTGGAGATTAAGTTTTTGTGTTCATGACGCAGAGGCTGAAAATCACATCGAGCGTCACGCGTGCTTCAGTATTTGTGTAGTAAACAAAACCGCTTTTCCGCCATTCATACATACAGAGGCAAGCAGAACATGCAGGACTCATATTTAAACCGTCTTTTTGCATTTTAATATTCACAGACACTAGTTCATATCACGATTCAAATTAAGTGGCAGTGGCTACTTTTGATTTATTCATTGACAAATTCCGTGGCATTCCACGCTATAGAGTAAATTACGTTTTTATGAATGGACTCCACAATCCCATCCGCGTTTTCGCAGAAACCATATGGCCCTAGAAATGTAACCACACTTCAGATCATTTCGGCTTGCCCTGTGTGTTGTTTGAACGAGTTGCAGGGTGACATCACGTCACAGGGTCTCTCTTTCGCTCTCTGTAGCGTATGCGCCCAGATGCGTTCTTAGGTACCGAAAATTGGCACCGATTGATTTAACGTGAATCGGTACTCGGTAGTACCAACGCAATTCGGTCGATACCCTTAAAAGTACCGAGTTCGGTACCCAACCCTAGTGACTATAGTATATTTCATTTTAGTTTATTGCACTGTTGCATTTCCGTTAGTGAATTTTGAGTAAATAATACTTCTTTCAGTATTATTGTCTTATCACATTATTGTAATCATATAAGTACTGCCACTGTGTAAGCCACTTTGCTCTGTGGACAATGAAAAAACACATCAGTTGACTACTAAAATCAGCTTTCATAAATAAATATGATTTTAAACATGTCAGAATACGATGGTTTTTCAAGCTGATGTTGACCAGCTGGCTCAAATCAGGGCTTAATACATATTACAGTTATGAATCAACACAATTATTCAAGTAGTCATTCAACAAATAATTTTGTCGAAATGACATTTGAGTCATTCCTCATTTGTAAGTCGCTTTGGAAAAAAGCATCTGCTAAATGACTAAATGTAACAATTTTCCACACCAACAAAAACCTTGAGAATTTCTTCTAATGTGATTAAAAACAAACAATTCTTCCACTCAATTATGATTTTAAACATGTCAGAATACGATGGTTTTTCAAGCTGATGTTGACCAGCTGGCTCAAATCAGGGCTTAATACATATTACAGTTATGAATCAACACAATTATTCAAGTAGTCATTCAACAAATAATTTTGTCGAAATGACATTTGAGTCATTCCTCATTTGTAAGTCGCTTTGGAAAAAAGCATCTGCTAAATGACTAAATGTAACAAATAATTTTCCACACCAACAAAAACCTTGAGAATTTCTTCTAATGTGATTAAAAACAAACAATTCTTCCACTCAAGATTATATATATATGGCAATAATAATAATATCTATCTATCTATTTATCTATATACACACACAGATCTTAGAAGATCAATAATCAATAGTTAGAAATGAGTTAATAACTACAAATGCCATGAATATGTTTCTATATTATTCTGTATATCTTCTGCAACTCAGGTTTCCTTCTATTTTCCATCAGTCTAGCCATTTTTCTCACACAATATAAACGGATCATTATACATTGAACTTTATCTGCTTCTTATACAAGTGGATATCAATTTTGAGAGTTATGAAAACATAAAAAAAATCTATTTCACTCACAAGAGAGAGCTGATGATCGACAGAAACACAAACTCAGTGACAGCTTAGCTACACAACTAAAATAAAAACAAAAACGTGTATGAAATCCAACGCCGTAAACAACTGCCAGACTGATTCAAGATATCAAGATGTTTCAGGTTCACACCCAAATGTGACGTCATCATATTTATCAAACCTGCAGTTGAGTGAAACACTGTAACAACTGCCTGATTCTAATGTCTGATCTGAAATAGATCTATGATATATCAAGCTTCAGCATTTGTAATGATATAGCAGCTGATTCTGATTACTGATTGGTAGAAGTTCAAAGGCTATTTCATGGTCAATTCTGTCATTCTAAACCTGATGGTTGACTGATAATCTTCAGCAGGCCTACTTCAGCTGCCTTTAAAACTGATTTCCTCTACATTATTACAGCTTGAAGCCTGGAAAATACTGATCTGAGATGGGCTACCTGGCATTGGACAAAACATATAATCAATCAAACTTAAACATTACTACTTTTCTTAGCTTCTGATCTATTGTGAGGGTCTGATTAGCTGGATTGCTAAAGTCTCTGCTAGCTAGGTGACTGCTAGTCCCAACCAAATTATTTTCATAGAAATCGCAGCGAAATGAACACCGTTAATTACAGGTAAAAATTAAAAAGTGTGTTTTCAGCCTCTCCTACCTGTGTGAAGCTCGTATAGATGTGTATTTGACTGCTGATTAGCTCGGTAACTCCTTTGAATATTTTCCTTTCTGTGTGGAATCGCTCGCTAAAGACGGAAGTTTTCTGCATGACCAATCTAAAGAAGGAGGGGCGGGGCTACGTGGCAATGAGAGCCAATCAGCGAACAGCTAGGGGATCGAACGACGCGAGGTGTGACGTTCTGTAGTCTTTTAGTCCCTTTCTGTAGAGCTCAAACGGTCCGAGGCTATACGCAGAAGCTTGACAAAGAACTACAACACCCATAACCGCTATTTTTTATCCTCACGACGTGCAGTCAAAAGGCTGGCGTCTGTTTGAATATTATTTATTTATTTATTTTAGATGTTCGATTTAATGCAACAAGATTAATTTAATACAAAATTTGCACGCGTAAGGTAACAAATAAAAGATTTTTAAAAAATCTGTGAAAAAAATAATGGCAATTTAAAACGAACGTTACGCCTGACCAATCAGAAGAGAAAAGGGGCTGGACTGCTTCTCATAATAAAGGTGTGTGAGGGTCCAGAGACGAGCAGGATTTAACATCAGCATCCCGGAGCATCAGCATCTCTCTGACATCTCACGGTAAGAGATATCACGTATCGTGTATTCATGTTATCCAAATGACATCTATCCAAAACGTATTCTGCAAGTTTTATAATTCATTAGTACGTTATATCTGGTATGATGGGCTTATTCTCTACAAGAGAGGGTGTGCAGATGTGAATGCCCTTTAATATCAAGTGATGATGGGTCTGTACATTTTCCATTTAACCTTCCTGTCATGTTTTTCTGCTCAAATTTTACAATACATAGAATTGTATTATAGGCATTTGCAGTTTTGCATATAATTCACATACATATATTCTGCACAAAACAATCTCATTTTGTAGAAATAACCAAAAACATCAACATAAACCATCACAATCCTTGCTGAAGAAAATATACATTTTAATATAATTCAACCATTTGTTTTTCTTGGCTTTATCTTCATTTTCAAATTTTAAACCCTGGGTTCAATTATTGAAATGTTTGTATTGAATATGGATACCACAGGCAGCGTTGCATGCCCACATCTGGGCGTGGGGGAAGCGTATCTGGGGATGCGTAAATCATCTCCTGCAAGAAAATCCTATTTCATGTTTCTGTAGATGAGACACGCGGTGAGAGCAGAATGGAGAACGCACCTCCTTTCCAAACCCCCCTCGCTCCTGCTGGTGTAAAATAGCTGGTTTGTTTTGTGGGACGCATTCACGTGGAGATTAGGTGTGCTGGAGAGCGTGTGTAATGTGGACTATATGAGAGAGAGAGACAGACAGAGGAGGCCACTGAAAGAGAGGAGAGGGAAAATGAGGTGTTAAAGTGCAATCGGTTCGAGTAGGGAGGCAATGAAAGCAAGGGATCGATAAGAGAAGGATGAGGAACGAGAGGAGACTAGAAAGCAACGGTGAAAAAAACAAGCTGCATGAAGGTGCAAAGGAGTTGGAATGGAATTGCAGCACGTTTCAGGTCTAGCGCGCGCACACACACACATGTGGACTCCTTGGTGGTAACCTCCAATCAGTGGATATTGATTCCCAGATTGATTGCTGGTTTGCAGGCGTGCATGTGCCATTCATTTGAAAGCATGAATAACAGTGGCAGTTCAAGTGCTTTCTCAAATGTATTGACACAGTTAGCAACACAAGACATGCAATATTGCACAATGTGTTTTCAAAAAATGATGAGAATAACACAAGCATCGGTTAATATTGCTCATACTAATGGTTAAAATTGGATTGTAACTCTACCTGCATCGTTTGTGTAAAAAATATCTCAAATCACACTGTTTATTGAAGGAAACGGTTGGTTTCTTCAACTTTGGTTAACCATTTTATTTAATTTTATTATTTTATGTTATGTTATTTTGTTTTATTTTGCATGGTGGATGAAAAAATGTGTAAAATAGGCATAGTAGGTTTTTGGTTCCAAACATATTTATTTGATCAATGCTTTGGCTGATGTTTTACTTTGATTTGAAAATAATTTTACATTTTATTACACTTTCACAAGCAATTTTTCTAAAACTTGATTTTTACATTTTATTTTGCATGGTGGATTATAAAATAGTTTTAAAATAGGTATAGCAGGTTTTTGTGTCCAAACTATTTTTGAATTTATTTTAATTTAATATAATTTTATTTTAATTTGTAATTATTTTGTAATTAATTTAAATTCATTTGATTGATGTTTTGGCTGATGTTTTACATTTTTGAGAACACTGGATTAGTATGTGATTTTTTTTTAAAGAAGATTTTTTACGTTTTTATTATTATATTTTAAAGTTTACAATACAATATAGCCAAATATGTTTTTTACAACAACAAACTACTAAAAAAAAAAAACAGAAATGTAGCAAAAAAAAATTTTTATGTTATAAAATTCTACTGATAAATATATTTTTAAAAAGTAAAAAAAAAAGTAAAATAAGAAAATATCAAATATAATAAAAAATGAGTTGGCTCATTGTCAGATTTCAGCATTGGCGAGGCCGACATAAACCCAGGGATTTTTTTACCCGGTCTGACTGAGTTGTGTCTTCCCGCTAACACTCATCTCTTGGCCTCAGGACAGCACAGATGGCATAAAGAGTATTAAAAACATCTGCGTCACTAAGTGTGCAGAATATATTGAACTTCACTGTTGCTCTCTGAACAATATGATGCTTGAGCATCTGTGATGGCCTTTCTAAACATATGCAAAGCTCCTGTTATTGATCGCTGTTCAATTATGTGTCAATTTTTATTTAAAAAATATTTGAAATATAGTTTTATTATATTTAAATATTTTTTATATTTTAATATTCTTTTTAATAATAAGCTGTTATGAACCTATATTATTTTTAGCACTTTAAGTAGTTTCATGTTTCTATTATGGTTATTTTTTAATATACATTTTATAAATATTTAAAATATCTGATTTATTATTTTTAACAGTAATTTTATATATATATATTTTTTAATTAAGTAGTTAAAATTTTAGGACTTTTCAATGTATCAATATAGAAGCATTGCTGATTATAGCAGTCTCTGCTGCTGATAAGCCTTTACTGAATTGGTGTGAGTTGATGAGGAGATCTGAAGCATCTAAGCATTGGCAGTCTGTGAACGATTGGGTTTGTCAGTGTTTGGCCCTCTCGGGGGGTGATTTTGAAGGACGTCTGCATTTCTGAGTCACGTCTTCTCTCGTCAGCACATGGAGGAAGTGACTCTGCCTTTGAACTCGGGAAGAATAAAAAAAGGTTTTTAACTCTGTGTTGCTGGAAGACGTAGAGCCAAACTCAGGTAACCTGCTGTTTTAAAGAATCAGCTCACTTGAAAATGATAATTCTGTAGTCATCTCGTTCCAAACCTCTCTTCTGTGGAACCAAAAATATATATGTTAAAGAACAGGTATTATTTGGTCAAGATGTGGAATATAGCTATTATAACAACTTTTATGATGCTTTTTTACCACTATGTGGTCATTATAAATTGTCTCGGTAGTACCAACGCAATGTGCTGGGTTAAATACAACCCAGTGCTGGGTAAAATAGGGACAAACCCAGCAATTGGGCTGTTTTGACCCAGCGGTTGGGTTAAATGTTTAACCCAACCTTCTGGGTAGTATCTTAACCACTGGGTCAAAACAACCCAATTGCTGGGTTTGTCCCTATTTTAACCCAGCACTTTTTAGAGTGTATGCGAGCTAAATGCTTGATTTTTGCTGAAAAGCATTTGAGGGTGAGTAAATGATGACAGAAATTATATTTTTGGGTGAACTGTTCCTTTAAGGTAAAGTGCAAGCAAAGGTCAGATGGAAATGACTTTCAAATGACTTGGACAGATTGAAAGAGAGATGTGTGGCAGTCTGGTGGTCTCTAAGGTGACAGCGATTTTTGGTCCGGCTTTGTTTATTTTCCAGCAGTGGGCAGTGCTGTTGGACAGCTGTGACAGTGCAGACGGAAGGAGATCATATCACACACATACTGCAGTTAAAGCCTCTTACTCTGCCACGACGCTGTTAGGGACGAGCCAGATGCTAACCCTCTAATGATAGACGCCTGCTGCCGTGTGTTGACCTGGGTGGTACAGGACTGCTGGCCTACTGTAAAAACCTGTTTAGCTCAGTTTTCTGCATCTATTCTCTATCTGAGGATGAAGATCAGAGTGATAACAGTGGTTTGTCTTGTACAACAGTGCTCAGCAGGTTTTAATAGAGTTTAATTAAAGCTGACCCATGTCTTGCTCTTCTCTGGTCTCCGGTGGAGCTCCCACACCACTGCGCTGTCACTGCATGGCTCTTTAACTCCTCAACTAGTGTGTCTTCTCCTCCGCAGCTTTCCATATAAATATTTGGTCTCATTTCAATTCCTCGACGTACACTCGACATTTCACCTGCAGTCAAATCCTGCTCTGCGCTGTCCTCTTTCTCCATGTCCCCTTCTAAACAGCACCGCACCACTGGGTCTGTCCTCTGGAGGCTTGTGGAGCCAGGAGGCGAGAGCGATGGCCGTTTACCCAGCATGCTCTGCTCTATCTGGGCCATCCTGTCAGGAAAAAGGAGGCTGATGGATGTGGGTAGAGTGTCCTGGTGCCACCAACTGTGTTTCTCGCTCTGATGATGACAGATCCATCTGAATGAATGAACGATCATCTTTAGGAAATAAGAGCTCCATTCCAAACTTGATGGAAAGCCATGTTTGTTTGCTTTGATTTGCCTCCCTTATTAAAGATGAAAAATGTAAAACTTTGCTCTGCTTAGAAAAGAAAAATGAACTTTGAGATCTCTGTAATACCTTAGTTTCTTCTAGCCAGCAGTGAGATTAAATGGAGAGCAAATCCATTCCCAAAAAATCAGGGAAGTCGTGGCAAAGGCTGTGGGTTCGAGTCTCGTACCGGCAGGGATTGTAGGTGGGGGGAGTGAATGTTTTTATATTAATTTACTTATTTAGTTAAACAATTTCTAAATTTTCCCATTCTTATTTCTCTAAAGATTTTCTCAAAAAAAAAAAAAAAGAGTTCTGGGTTTTTGACTAATTAATACTCTCTCGTGTGTGTGCACTTAGGATGGGTTAAATGCAGAGGACTAATTCCTAGGGTCACCATACTTGGCCACATGTCACGTCACTTTCACACGTCACAAATGGGGATGTCTGCTTCTCAGATTTTTGTCAGTACCACGAATTGTGCTCTGATTTGTCAAGAAATGATGTGCAATTATATACAGTTACATTATAAGAAAAATATAAAAATATATACTCCTGAAGACCGGAGTCATGGCTGCTGCTTTGCCATCAGGAATAAATTACATTTAAATATAATATTATTGAAATTTGAAATTTTATTAATAGTTCACAATATTACTCTTTTTACTGTATTTTTGATCAAATAAAAAAAGGGGGTAATTCTCTGCCATTATTTTTTTTTTACGGATATTTCTGTTAACCCTAAAATACAATGCAATGCAGTGTAATTCAAAATACAGGTAAAACATCTGTAAAAAATAAATAAATCAATAAAAATACATACAGACAATTCCTTAATATTAATACAGTACTGGTTGGTTTATAGTAACTAATGTAACTCAAAACCTGGACAAACCAAGTAGGTGGTCATATTCAATCTCATTTCCTGTTGCTTAGGTTTTAGATCACGGATTGCATAACACTTTTTTTTTTTCATTCTGGTGTTCCCACTTGACTTCTTACTACCTTTACCAGTAAGACATACTTGGTCAACTTCACTAGAAACACCATGCATTAAGTTGCACTGGATATTTGCATGGCTATCCAGCATGGATATTCATGATGCTGTTAGCTAATCTAACAAACTATGTATCCTTCTGCTCTCTCGTGTTTCAGCTCCAGCTCAAAATAAAAAAGCGTAAAAGAGTAAGAGCTAGAAAAGGTCTCCTACGCTGCCCCCATTTCAGAAATGTCTTGACGATGTGCTTGTTAGTACAGTTTGAAGGCAGCTGGGAGGATATTGGACATATTTAGAGCAATTGCTCTGTGCATGTGTGAAAGGAATAGTGTTTTGTGGCACTTTGAAGCTTGATTTCACTTGAGCAGACTCTGAGAAGTTTGACTCGACTTTGCTTTAGATGAGTGCCAGATATCAGTGCGTTGAGGTAATAAAAACACTGTCAGTTTCTTAGTGATTTGAACAAAAATATTAAACTTTGCCATTTAACTCATTCCTCACTTTTATGCTATAAATTATACCTCATTAATGGTATCTCAGATTTTGTGGCATGTTATTTTCACGATTTCACCTGGCAGACCAGAAAGGACAGCTCGGGATTTCTTTGTTGTTGATTTCTTTCTGGTTGGAGCATTAGTGTGGTTGGTGGTCTCGTTGACTTCTCCCAGGTGGCCGGCAGACCTTTGTCCAGAATGAGCGAAAGGTCAGGCAGGTCTGGTGCTGTTTTCACATGTACCTTCCCTTGTCCCCACCGCTCACAAGCGGCCATCTGTGTTTCAGTCCAGACCTCGGTCACCAGGGTCAGGTCCAGTTACACAAGCCTGCGTGTATAAGTCTGAAACCAAGAGAATCCGAGATACAGCGTTCAGGTCATGAGAGATCAAGAAAGCTCAAGCAATGAGAACAGATGAATCTTCTGTGGATTGTGGACCAGCTTTGTGAATCAGTTGCTTGTTTCTCTTGAATTCCATCTGGTGTTGAAAAGATGCATGTGAAATATAGTTTTGATAGATTTGAAATCAGTGACTGGAGTGCTTCAGGCGTTTTTAAGATTTAAATAGCATCTTAGATCACCCTAGGACTTTTGAACACACTGTATGTCGCTTTGGATAAAAGAAAATGTAAATACATTGCAATGCACTAAAACCACTCAGAACACCATAGCAAGCTCGCTAAGCAAATGCATAGCAGCACCATAGCAATACCCTAGTAAGCACCAATAACACCCTAGCAACCACAAAACAACACCCTGCCAATCACCCACAACACCCTAGCAACTGCATGGAAACACTTTTTAACACCATAAAACACAGTACTATTTTTAAGTAGAGGGTTTATTTTATTGCTTCAGCCATTTTAACTTTCTGTTGTTAGCTTATATGCTTGGAGTTGACCTATGTTTGTTTAAATGTGCAGGTTCGGTGTATCGTGTATGTCGGTCATCTTCTGTTCAATGACAAATTGAATTAATAATAAAGTTTATGGCAGCATTTTTTTTTAAATCTTGGGTTCAGTGTCAATAAGGTTTTTTATTCATACAGAAAAAAAATTCATACAGGTTTAGAACAACTTGACACACGCTCGCGCTCTCTCTCTCTCGCTCTCTCTCTCTCTCTACACATCACACAGTGGCACAAGGCCACATTCTCCCTTGCATTCTTAGCTTGTGTGGAAAACACTGTTGCCAGGCAACGACTAAAGCAGGGAGACTGTGCCATGCGAGGATGAAGGTAGAGCTATATCTGTGCGTATGTGTGTTTGTTCACTTGCATGAGCAGGTATTTGCTGGTGCATTGAGCGGAGGCTGCGCAGTCAGTGGGAGAAACAGAGGCATTAACCCCGTGTGGAAGCGAGACTGTTTACACTATTGCATCCAAACACCTTTTTTACTTCCATTATGCAGCACATTATCCAGAGTGAAACGGGTTATTCTCAAATTTCATAGATTATTTATGTAAAATTGCACCAGTAACTGTAACAATAGAAACACAATTTCATTCCCTTGTGTACTTGCATAGTTGAATAAGAGGATGGTTTGATGTAATAAAGAAGATTCATTACAAATGGATTCAGTAAAAGTCACCAAAACCAAACTGTTGATTGTAGCAATTGACTTCCATAGTAATTTTTTTTACTATGGAAAGTCAATGGCTACCATCAATGGTTTGGTTCTTTAAAGGGGTCATATGATGTTGCTATTGAAGTGTTCTGGAACAGTGTTGTAAATACAACTTAACCACTAATTTCTAGTCGTGTCCTCTTTTGGAATACCAAACAAAGTATTTTCACTTTCGCAACGAAACACACAGTCTTCACAACATTGCGGCGGCGGTGGCAGCAACAATAAAGTTATGCCTTCTTTCTTTGCGTGAAGATTTGGGCTGCGTTATGCAAATCTTCCCACATCGTGATGTAGACATGTGGGGGCGTGTTTAAACGAGGCGTTTTAGGAGGGCGTGGACCAGTCTTACGTTTTATAAAGAATACCTCTTTGGGTTTGAGACTTTAGTCTTTGCACCTTTAGGGATCTTATCTATTCACGAACAGCTTATAACACTCCAAAGAGAAAGGAAAACTTGAAATCGCATCATATGACCCCTTTAAGCCTTTAACCTCTAGCATTTAAGGCTGAAAAAACACAACACGACTTTTCAAATTCAAACAGATTTTGCAGTAAAAAACTGGGCTTCAAACACTTAATGGCTGAGGAATACACATTAACAGACTTTCAATTCGTCAAGGTCTTTGAGACACATGACAAATTAAAACAATGTGTTCTAAAATCGGCTCAAAATATAAAACATGTGTAATATCCTCTGGCTGGACTGAATCACAGTCTGAAGCTTAAAAAACTGGAGTTTGTGGCCATCATACACTATGAAATTTATGAAAATCTGCAGACTGGCTCTTCCAGACTGCAAAAATCAGTGAAAAGGTCCTGTAGTATATGTGTATATAGTATAGTATAGTATAAATGTTCTGGCTGAACAAGGAAGTTTTGCATTGTGAGTGTTTGAATATATTAGAATATAAAAAATATTTCCATGATATAGATGTCCTTCTAGCTCTGACCTGCTTCTCTCTCTCGTCAGCTCGTCCCTCGTTTACCATGTTGCTGCTCGGACTCTTGCCGCTGATGCTGCTTCGGGGGTGCGGTTGCCAGGCGGCAGACGTTCCCGAGGATGTGACGGCAGAGTTCTCAGTCAGACTGTACCACCAGCTCCAGATCACGGAGGGAGAGGAGAACATCATCTTCTCACCTCTGAGCGTGGCTCTGGCTCTGGGCATGGTGGAGCTGGGCGCCCGCGGCTCTTCTTTAGAGGAGATCAGACAGGCCGTGGGCTACAGTCATTTCAGAGAAGGTGCAGTTATCTAGAAAACATATAGTACCTGTTCTCTTTAATCTTTAGCTTCTGAGATTTTGTTATTGGCTACAACTTTTTCCCCATTCACTTTCTCCATAGGCATTTAAAAAAATTCTGTAGCAAACCAAACAGCTTCGAAACCAATCATAACGTTACAACATTTGATTCAAAGCACAAAAATGTACAGGTGTTTTTGTGATATTTAATTGTATAAACCTTTCAACTCACATTTTACCCACAAATCAAAAGAAGAACAACATTAATAATATTTTGCATCAAAGAAAATGAAGCATATTCTTCATTACAATTAAGCAAATTTTCCACATACATTTTTATTCCCATTATTCTTAATAGTGATTCTACATCAGTTAAAGGCAGTGCAACAATTGATCAAATAATGATTTCACTCACTGAAATGCAAATCAATTTCTAACCTTTATATAATGTATTTTTTCTGGATTTTTTGGTTGGTATTCTGTCTCTATATGTTAAATTAAGCCTACCATAAAGATTACAGACCCTTCATTTTTTTGTAAGTGGGCAAACTTACAAAATCAGCAGGGGATCAAATATATATTTTCCCCACTGTGTGTGTATATATATATATATATATATATATATATATATATATATATATAGCATTACAGTAATGAGATTTTACTTTTTTTCTTTTGATTGTTGCAGTGAATTATGACCCAGACATGTTCTTGACAGGTTTAGTGAGATTCTGAATTTTGAATGGGATTATTACTTCCATGACTGTAATATTGCAGCACGATGTACAAAAGCCTTTTATTGTTGTCTGCACCTGCTTCAGATGAGGAGTTCTCTCTGTTGAGCAACCTGACCCAGGCCCTATCCACAGATGAAGAGCAGTACGTGGTACGGCTGGCCAACTCCCTCTTTCTGCAGACGGGGGTTCACTTCAACGAGGACTTCCTGCAGCTCATGAAGAAGTACTTCAAAGCGGAGGTGGAGACGGTGGACTTCAGCCAATCAGCAGCCGTGGCTGAACGCATCAACTCTTGGGTCCTGAACCACACGGAGAGTAAGTCATCTGTCATCACTGAGGAAAGAAAATATTCAAACTGGATGTGTGCTATTACGTATTTGAAGTAGGATCCTGATGGCTATTCTTGTATTGATGTCTTTCCTATTGACATAGAAAGTTGGGATGTAGTGAAAAGTTTGTTCTTTTGTAAGTAGAAGTATATAGATGACCTCGAAGCTAATAGACATAGAGTAGAAGTCAGAAAATTCATATATATAGTTATCTACACACATGTGCAAACGTTTGGGATACTTTTTTTGAAAGGAGTCTCTTGTGCTCACCAAGGCTGCATTTATTTGTGTAAACAAATACAGTAAAATCTGAAATATTTGTAATAATATTTCACATTTAAAATACTGTTGTTTGGAATATGTTTTACAATGTAATTTAATCCTGACAAAGCTGAATTTTCAGCATCATAACTCCTTTCAGAAATCATTCTAATATGCTGATTTACTCCTTGATAAACATTTATTATTATTATTATTATTATTATTATTATTATTATTATTATTATTATCAATGTTGAAAACAGTTGTGCCGATTCATATTTTTTGTGGAAACTATGACACATTTTTCTAGGATTCTTTGATGCATAGAAAGCTCAAAAGAACAGCATTTATTTGAAATAGAAATATTTTATAATGTTATAAATGTATTTACTGTCACTTTTAATGCATCCTTAATGCATAAAAGTATTAATTTCCCCAAACGTTTGAACCCTGCTGTAAATGAATATATAATAAGCCTTAATGATTACCTTTTAGATTATATGCCGTTCAACCACTGAATATAGTCATAGTTTATAATCCCATTTAGAATGATTTTACTTTCAAGTAAAACTCTCTTCAAAATGAATGGATGGTGTTAAGAGGAATTACTATGACTTTAGTAAAGGAGGATACTAAAGTAGATAATGGCAGGTCAGTCATATTCTGCATGATAATGACATTTCCAGGCAGATCCATTTTCTCACAGTCAGCTTTCGCGTTTGCTTGACTGTCAGATAGCAGCACAGATCCCAGAGCTTTGGAAGAGAGATGATTTTATGCCACTGAAGAGATCATGGATTCAATCAGGATTGTGACGTGCAATGTTTATTTCAGTCTGGGTTTTTGTCGTTGCAGGCAAAATCCACAACCTGGTGTCTGCGGACGACTTCAGCAGCTCCACCATGATCATGTTAGTGAATGCGGTGTACTTCAGGGGCAGCTGGAAGAACCAGTTCAGACCAGAAAACACCAGAACCTTCTCCTTCACCAAAGACGATGGCAGTGAAGTTCAGACCTTGATGATGTACCAGCAGGGAGATTTCTATTATGGTATGTTCAACAAGCTTGAATCAGTAGTTTTTGATTATTTGTTTTCTTAATTCACTGTACATATTTTCCTATAGTTCGATTTCAGGGAAAGTAAATCAAGACAAAATTTGAATGTTGGCTTTAAAAGATTAGCCTGAAAGTTTAAAATAATTTTATAAACTTTAGGCCTGATCACTGTTATAATATAAATATAATATATATATATATATATTATTCTATTCAGTCACCTAAGAAGAAGCATACTGTTCTAAGTTTGGGATCAGTAAGATTTTTTTTGTATGAAAGAAACAAAACTTTTATTCAGAAAAGATGTATTAAATTGATCAAAAGTGATAGTAAAGACTTGCAAATAATCAATCAATCATAAAATAAATAAATGCTGTTCTTTTGATTGAAAGAATCCTGGGGGAAAACATGTATCAGGGTTTCCACAAAAATCAACATTGACAATAATAGTAAATGTTTCTTGAGCAGCATGTTTCTGGAGTAATGATGCTGAAAATTCAGCTTTACATAACAGGAATAAATTATATTTTAAAACATTCAAATAGAAAACTGTTATTTTAAATTGCAATATTTTACAATATTACTGTTTTTACTGTATTTTTGGTCAAATAAATGCAGTCTTGGTGAGCATAATAGACTTATATATAGTTTTATATAACTATAAACGGGCGTTTACAGACTTTATATTTTCACATAAACGACATTTGGAAAATGATTGCATTGCAACGCAGTTTGTGCAAGTCCAGAACAGAGATCGGCTGCAATAAAACAATAAACGGCTGGTTGCTGATCGCGTAAGTTCCAGAGGAAGCTCCTTCGGCCGTCCTACACACACGTGACTGACCGCTCGCTCTCACCAACAAGAGGAGGAGGGTCGTGTTACGCTCTACACTGCACTCAACCTGAGGGATTCCTACACTTTCAGTCTTTGAGGAGACCTGAAATACAGCACATACCGCAGGAACGGTATAACGGAAAATATTAGTGGTTTTGAAACTTTCAAATCGCGGTATACCTTGAAACCAGTAATTGGCCCATGCCTACTACAATAACAGTCACACTAATTCTGTTGTCCATCTCAGGGTTATTATTGTTAAAAACTAAAACCAGAAAAAATTATTTTGTTACTCAAGATAAAATATAAAAAAATGATATAGTTAGCCAAGGCAACATTTCTAATTTTTTTTAGTTTAACTTAATTTTTATTTTATTTTTTCTAAAAGAACTAAGACTAAATAACCTAAAAAATAATAAATGAAGAATAATAAAAACTATATAGACATATTTAAATAAAGTAAAAATTACAAAAACTCTGGGAAAACAGAAAATATACAAATAAATCTAATTCAAAATATTAACAAAACCTCTAACAACACTGATCCAAGTCCTTTCCATCCTCAAAAATACAGTAATAATCACTAACCTCACCGTGTCCTTCATCCTCAGGAGAGTTCAGCGATGGCACCACAGAGGCGGGTGGAGTGTACCAGGTGCTGGAGATGCTCTATGAAGGTGAAGACATGAGCATGATGATCGTTCTGCCCCGTCAGGAGGTTCCTCTGGCCTCCCTGGAGCCCATCATCAAAGCCCAGCTGCTGGAGGAGTGGGCCAACAACGTCAAGAGGCAGAAGGTGGAGGTCTACCTGCCCAGGCGAGACACACAGTGTTTTCATCTCATTTATCAATACATTTGCTTTTAGATTTGATTCATGTAAAACCTGTATACTTCTTGTTTCTGGACAAAGTTCACTCTGACCTGATCATTTGGATTGATTTAGGTTCAAGGTGGAACAAAAGATTGATCTGAGAGACACTCTGCAGCAGCTGGGCATCAAGAGCATCTTCACTAAAGATGCCGATCTGTCGGCCATGACAGCCGAGATGACAGGTAATCGATAATACACACACTCCCTGACCTATGGGAACGCTCTGTTATTCTGCACATGCACACAGATGCTCAAGATGTGATTGACGGCTCAAGGACGGGATGTAACGCACTTGTTTTGCCCTGGCAACCAACCAGCATTGTGGTAGTGATTTTTTGCTTGCACAAGCAAATAATAATAATAATAGTAATAATAATCATCATTATCAAATTTTCTGTATTGGGTGTGGTTGGGTATGTTTTTTTTGTTTTTTAAGAATCTATTAAAAAAAAAGTTCAATATTGTTGTTTTATTTTTATTCATTATTATTTTATTTGACATTTTTATGTTCAATATTATTAATTTGTTTTACTTTTCTTTTTTTTTTCTTTTTTTCAATACTCAAATTGTCAATTTATTTCAGTATTAAATATGCCTATGAAACTGTAGTCTGTGAATGTTCATTATTCTCATTATACACCGCTCTGCATCCCTGATTACACCAGCTCATAAATAAATGGAAATAACTTGTAAAGCACATTCAGCCTTTTTCATATTCTGAAACCTTCTTCACTTCTATTTTCTGCTTGTTTACAGATGGACAGGATCTGTTTATCGGGAAGGCTGTGCAGAAGGCTTACTTGGAGGTGACCGAGGAAGGTGCCGAGGGGGCGGCAGGATCAGGTGACATTTATTTCCATTTCCATTTTTTCATACTGCCACATTCTACTCTAATTACATTACACATTTAATATTCTCTTCCTCCACAATTCAGTCATCCTTTGCATGTCTAATTTTTCTCACTGCAGTAAATTGCTTTGTTTTTTTACAAAACATAAAAAAATTTACTGTCACTTTTGATCAATTTAATTCATCCTTGCTGAATAAAAGTATATAAAAGAAAAATAATTAAAATAATAAACCTATTTTAGTTTTGTGTGTATCTTATTTTTTTTCTGTGAATTTATCAGATTTGATGCTAAAGGGGTCATGTGACATTGCTAAAAAATATCATTATTTGGTGTAATGAAACAAGACCAAACAAAGTAGTTTCGCTTTCACAACGAAACACACAGTGTCTTCACGACATGGTGGTGGCGACAACAATACTGCAGCGAGAATCAAAGTTATGCCTTCTTTCTTTGCGTGAACATTTGGGCGGCGTTATGCAAATCTTCCCACACAGTGACGTAGATATGTGGGGGCGTGTTTAAACGAGCCGTTTTAGGAGGGCGTTGACCAGTCTTAACTTTTATAAAGAATATCTCTTTGGGTTTGAGACTTTAGTCTTTGCAACTTTAGGGATCTTATCTATGCACGAACAGCTTGTAACACACCAAAGAGATAGGAAAACTTGAAATCACATCATATGTTTTGTTTTCTCACAGGATCCATCCTCTTCATGGGCAGAGTTATGAACCCTGAAGTCATTGAGCCCTTTGACAACTACTTTGACATGTGAAAACCCAGCAATGTGACACTCAACCGAGTTCATGCTTATTTTCAACATCATTCACAGAAAGCAAACTCATTACGTTGCCATGGTTTTCTATACACACAAGAAAATATTATATAAACAGGATATTTATATGATAAAAGTGATTGTGTTTTGATACTCGTAAGCTTTAACAGCACCAGGAAGTACAGAGCTGTAAATATTTGAAGTCTACTCTATTCACATTCAGTCACGTCTTATTCCACACCAGCATCATTCGTTCCTGTGTTTCTTATCTTGTATATTTGCTATTGTGTTCTGTAGAGAAAAACGTTGATATTTATTGCAAGGATGTGAGCACTTCTCTATATGTAGACTCACTTAATGTCTTTTTCATTTCTTTACACTCTTTTTTGGGTTTGTACATGGCTGAAGTACTGCTGACATACTAATATGCCTTATTATATAAATATGAGTTTTTGATTTAATGAAAGGTTGCGAATGTACAGGTAGTGGAGCGCTGTTGCCATGGAGACTCAGGCGAACCGAGGGAGAGTGCATTTGGTAAAAGAGATTAAAAAATACCAGCTGTATTCTCTATTTCAGAAATAAAGATGAATGTCTTCAACTTTTCGTCTTGTGCTCAATTTTAGTGTTGATGCAAAATATATATACAGAAATGTAGGCCTCTATGCGGTTGTTCACACAATGTCGGCACATGGTTTTGATGTCCAAAATAACTTCTATTTAAGACTATAATTGTGCACCTCAAAGACAGAGAATAATTTATTACTTTACTGACAACAGATGCACTTGATGACAACAGTTTATCAAATTAATGTCATAGGCAGTTAAAGTAAAGGGAAAATGCATATTGAATCAGGTTTGTAACATTCAAAACGTGTCTGGTGCTCTATTTTGCATGATAAATGTCAATCAGATTATATTTGTCCTTTGCAAAGCATGAGAAGATGCTCAAAGCAGTGTTCACACAGAGCAAAGTTTTCAATAAGAACTGTTTCATTTAAGCTAGTTGACGTTTTATCAAAATGATATGCTTGCAGAGAAATACTTACATAACTAAATGCGCTGCTGCAGAAGATAAGACTCAAACCATGATGAACACCATCTGTTCTTGTCCAAGCACACAGTCTGCTGCTGATTGATGACCACTGCCATGACCTGCTTAATTGAAGCTGGAGCTCTCTGCGGTTCATTTCTGAAACACAACATTTGTCATAACCTGTGGAGCTTCTCAAAGGAATTCAGTAAGCTTAGGCAAATAAATCAATTAAAGAAAAAAAAAAGCTTGTTTGGTTGGTTCGTTTGGCCTTTTGTGAATAATACGCTCCTTAATTAGTTGCTGCTAATTTTGTTTTTCTAGAAAAATGTAAGCAGTAAAACAAAAAATGCAATTACTTATATAAAATTGTAAACATTTTAATGACAAAGGCTATCTGTATTCTGTTCATTAAAAAAAACAGTATGATTGGGCATACATAACACTGATACTAGTCACTAAAAATTTAATTTATTTGTTGAAGCCTGGAAGCCATAAAAAGAATACCTTTTTTTTATTAAAATATTTTTACCGTTATTCATTAAAAAGTATTATATCATCATCGTACGCATATTTTATTTTCATTAAACAAAATACAATACAATGCAGTAATTTAAATAATTCATGTTATGAACTTTATTCATTAAAATGCATTATTTCAACCTAAGGCATATGGTCACATAATAGTCATTACAATTCAAGTCTAATTTCAGGTAAAACCTGAAAACCAAAGAAAGAAAACATTGATATTTTTAGACAATATTACATATCTTTTATTAATAATGCCGTAAATAAGTCCTACCTGTCGCGACATGCCCTACTCGGTCTTCTCTTTAAAAAGAAAAAATAAGTGTTAGCGTTAGTTCTGGCAGGTCACGCGAGTCAAGCTTGCATCAGCTGATTCTTAGCTGATCACATCTACCTATAGGAATACGACACCTATTGCGCCATTCCTATATAAGCTTAATTCAGTATTATTCAGCAGCTTTTCAGCTTGCTGGGGAGCAAATTACCCTCCTCCATCCCCAGCTCCTACTTTCGCCACAGACTAAGACTCCTTTATCTTGAATAAAGTGTTACACTTAAATATCATTAAGTACATTAATGATATCTGCCTTGTTCTGTTCTGTTAACCCTGGGGGGGGGGGGATTATTGCTGCTCTCCCTGCTCATTCATGACAGGCTGCATGGATGGGCAGGGAGTTTTTTGCCCAGAACAGAACAGAACCATACCGCCAAACCAAACTTTATGCTAAGCATCTATCATTTTGACGATAGTGGTCCTGACAGAACTTGTATCAAGGTAAGATCTACGTTCCCAACGAAAGTACTGTTTAGTGTGAAACATGTTGAAGATTAGCGAACAGGTTGTCCGTTCATTAAATGATAAGCTATTTCCTCACAAAAGCTGTTTATTCCGCGTAGTTAAGTTTCTCCACCACTGATTCAATAAATAAATAAATAAATAAATGGCCTCTGGTCTCCTTCCCTGCATAAAGGTTGCAGGCTTGCCTTCCAGTGGCTTTGCTTACACTTTAGACACAATATTACCCGTTAGTTGGGTTTTTTTGATCCGCCAAAGGAAAAACTTCCAAATCGCGTGAAAGCAGAATCAGCCCTTACTAAATTCCGAACAACCAGTGTTGCCAACTAATTTTCAGGGAAAGTTGCTAAAGGAAGGTCAATTTGTTGCTAAAAGTTGCTAAATGACGTTGTGATGTCATTACATGATGACATCATTATGTAATTATGACGCAAAATTGTCACTACATCAAATTTCTGCAAAAAAATATTTGTTATATGTTTATTTAGATTTGTTCGTAAAATAATATAATGTAATATAATATTAAAATATAAATAACTGTATTTTTAAATACAACATTAAATTACTGAACACTTACACATTTTTGAACAATTAGGGCTTACAATTTTAATTTTAATGTTAATATGAAGGAATTTTCCGTATTGATTTTTCACAGGTTTTTTACCTGCATTTTAAATTACGCATTGTATTTTGTGTTTTCGGGTTACAGGGTTACAATGGATAATGAATAATAGAGAATGGATAATGTCCTGGAAAATTACTAGTACCTTTTCCATTTTTCTAGATATTTTTCTTACAGTGTACTTACTGATTAACAATTGCAGGTACAAGCTACTAACAAGGTGTATCATAAATGAACAATTATTCAATTATTATTATTATTAAATTGAGCAATTGCTAATAGCAGCTACCTTAATTCATGTGATGTGTGTACTGCTAGGCACCTTTGGTTTTTATTTATTTATTTTTTTACTCGTTTTGTGTAATTTAGATGGAAAATGTGTGCCTTTTTATCGTTTGAGTCACTTATCAAAAGTTGCTAAAAGTAGCCAAATAAAATGTAAAAATAGCTAAATTTGTTGCTAGGTGCTTTTGGAAGAAAAAGTTGCTAGTGTAGTGTGAAAAGTTGCTAAATTTAGCAACAAAATTGCTAAATTGGCAACACTGTGAACAACCACAGCAGTGAATGAATCCGTGTGTTTGAACGAATCGTTTGAGTGAATGATTCAATGACTCACTCATGTATTGAGCCCCAATCAGTGTTATTAATTGATTCACTTATAAAGACGGAGAGCAGATTAGAAACCCCACCGATGCGCATGTGTGTGTGTGTACATTTTTGTCTGTTTGTTTGTTTGTCTCAGTTTATTTAAATGGTCCTGTGTTGTGACATTTCCTTTTCAAAAGTACAAAATGTACTCTCACAAAGCCTGCTGCATGTTCAATAACTATGTGCATGAAAAATATATACAGCATAAAACGGGGTACAGCGATATCAACATTTTACAGCTATACTGCATTTTCCAAAAGTCACTGAAGTGCAACCTTAGACACACACTGATGCCCTGACTGACCTCCGTGCGCATGCGCAGAGCTCACACTCACCTGTCTCACTTCAGCACTCTATTCATCCAGCATCAATGGGAAACCGCACTCTATTCCTTGTAAATAACTCACTTCACTGCGTGTCAAATGCCAAAGGGATCTGTCAGAACCAACGGACATGTCCGAAAGGTAGGAAAAGTTTTGATCTCCTAATATGAAGCATTTGCTGTTTTATTTCTTTGGAAGAATGCTTATATACTTTTCTGCATAATTCATGGGAAATACTACTGAAATGAAGATTGATACTTAAATGAGGGCTAATTTGGACTAAAACAAATTGTTATGATATTGTTACAGTTATAAGACATTATATAAACGATTACCGTTATAACTATTAGATATTAATGTGATTACTTGGTAAGTTAAAGGCAGCAGTTTCACAACACATACTACATAATCAATAGCCATTAACAGCGTTAAGATGTGAGCACAAATTCTAAAAAGGTTCTGATATAATGTGCCGGTGTGCTCGGGTGTCGTGGGTGACTTTAATCCGGATCAGGGTGCAGAGTTCACGGTAATCTACTCCAGAAGCTCAGCCCAGTGGATGGAAGGACGCTCTCGTTACACACAGGCTGTGTCTCAAAACCTGCTGAGCGCCCTACATAGGCAGCACACTGGGGCAGCGTAGGTGCGTGCATTATATGGTAAACAACTTACATTTTTATAAACATATTACATTTTCATGTAATATGATACATGCTCCCGATGGCCAAAATGCCTTCTAGATAGTCAGCTCACTAGGTTTTGAGACACAAACAAGGACTTGTCTCTATTTGTGCAGATGTATTGGAATTTGTTGGTTACACTTCATTATAAATGTACTAGTAGCTAGAAATATATCAAAACTGATTCAAATACTTCAGATTTGAATGTAAATGTTCAGTGATCTGATCCGTTAAGCATTAGGCCTCTGTAATGTTACTTAATGGCTTCGGTCTCTCTCGCTCTAGTTCCTCTGGAGTGAACATCAGCAGTGAAAGTTTTCCGAAGTCTCACTCGCACTACTCTGAGTTAAGCGACACACACACTCCTTTCTCTGTGGAACCGACTCCAGACTCTGGCATTGTTGCCACTCCAGTAAGTCAGTTCAAACTCAGTATGATTGCGAAGCGTCATGTGTGGTTTGATTGACAGCAAACACTGAATGCTGTCATTGTGTTTGTTCCATGCAGCTGCCGTCCAGTCGGTTCAGGTTTGCCTCGTGGCACTGGCTAGAGGAGCATGATGTCTGCGGAGACCAGCTCGCCTGCCCCAGGGTCAGAGAGGGTAAGAGGTCATTCGGGGTCACCATTCTATTATATATATATATATTTCTCAGTGTTAACATAATACAGTCACTGTGGACACACATCAATGATGTCATCAAACAGGGCCTGCTGAAGACGAGCTGTCCGTTAACAGTGAAGACATATTTCTCAGAGGAGGCAGGAGGAAGAGGAGGGAGGATGAAGGACAGACATGGGAGGAGAGACTCCAGGAGAACTGGGAGAACTGTGCGGTGAGAGAGCAAACATCTATCTATCGATCGGTCGGTCGGTCTGTCATCTTTTAAAGAAAAATTTATAATTTTATTTTAACATTGATCGAACTGATCAAAAGTG